GCGATCTGAACTAACCTTCAGTTCATAAGAGCACATTTCATCACGCAGGTATTCGAGGACGACGCTTCCAGGCAGCTTTGAGTTGACAGCCATGATGAAGTCCGGTGTATTTGGAGTTTGCTGCACAAACAAAAGGTGCAGTCAGGGTAACATCGGCTAGTGCGAACACGTGAAGAACTCACAATTCCATTGACACCGATAATAATATCGCCAACGAACATCGTCCCCAGCAGCTCCGAAGACGGCAGGATATTTACAACCTTGGAAGGGGTTTCCTGATTTCTTTGGAATTTTTGCTACATGGATAAATCATATGACTCACCTTTCGAGTCCCTGACCTCAACACCTACACTGATTTGCGTTTTGAATTTCAGTTCCTTTTTTCCTCTTGTCAATGTCGTTGGAGCTTGTTGCATGACCTGCATCATGATGAGACCAGGATGGAACGAGTCGAATTAGTGAGGACGGACGAACTCAGTGCACGGTCAAATGCCGAATGAACCATCCACCAAACACTGTCGTGATCATGTGCTTTCGTTCACGTAAACAGGATCTGATAAGGCACGAAGGAGAAATCCGTCAAGAGCTACACGTCTCGTTACCTTCGCCATGCAGTCTACAAAGCAGGGCTCGTTTGGTATCCAGTATTTCGAAATCCCTGGGGACTTCAAATTTTACAAGTCACTTCATTGAACATGCTGAACCCAGGCTTTTATAACAATGACATTCATAGAAGCAATATCCCCGAATTTTGTCCTCGGTGGGCCGGGGCTTATGACGGCGGACAATGCCTAGCTCAGCATCCTAGCACACACAATTCGCTGACTCTGTTTCAGTTACTTTTTTTGTTTTTGTCACAATTTCTTATAAAATAGCCATCAAATGTGCGATTTTCACCCGAACAATTACCTCAGTCACACTTTTTCTTTGTCACGCCAACATTGTGGAGGGAGCCCTGCTGGAGGGGAGGAGTGCATTTTGATGTAGAGCTTCCACGGTTCTCAAACTTGTACGAAGATGTGCATGTTATGGTATGGAAGAAGTAACACTTATCCAGTTTCCTATCTTAATGAACAAGCAAATTGATACCCCCACCACGGGGCTTTCACCCTACAGAGTATGAAATCGCTGTGACCGACATGAATATTCCACCAAAATGCTCCCTTATTGGAACAGTCCTCTATTTTCCATGGGCCATATCTGGGCCATACCCCATCCTTCCCCAGGGGGACCCATCCCTTGTCAAGGACTCTGTCCCAAGTTGGGAAGAGACGGGGTTTTAGCCATACTTGCGTTTCTAAATACCAGACATTGTAACCCCTCACAGGAAAGAGTGCCCGAACAGGGGAGGGTAACTATAACATCAGGCGCTCAATAGCGGTCCTATGACCCTGTCTTTCCCAACCTTAGGATAGAATCAGCGGCGTGGGACGCGTCCCTCAAAGGGTAGAATAGGATACGTCCACATGTGCAACTCCTCAAATCCCCTAATTCCCAATTGCCGCAACAATGCACCACAATGATTTCACTGTAGTTACAAGAACAAAAATCGAAAAAGAATTATTTCATGGAAAAACCTGATCCATATAATTTATAGCGGACATAATTTCAACACTAACAACAGAAAACGTCCATAGAAGCACTTTGAGGCTCGTACACATTAAATTCTACCATCTCACCAACAGTCACAAATATATGTAATTGATAATGGACGATACGATTAAAAAAAAGCCTCTTAAATCACAATGTAAGAAAACAAAACTCGTCGAAAGAGATACTAATGAACACTCTCAGCACTGACCACTTTGAACACAATCTAGAGGTGCTTTCAATAAATAAATGAAAATGTACGAGTACACAGTTGTAGCTACCGTATGAAAACCAACCAAACGGCAATCACATACCCCGTTAGTGAAAGTGAAATAAGAGTTTGATAATTAAATTGCTGACACATTCGCCATTTTGACGAAGTACTATCACAATAATTTATATATGCAATTTCGTACTTGTATGAATTACGTAAAATTTTCTTATAATGACTATATGGCTAAGTGTTGTGCACCATTGCTCGAGCATGACTTTAAATCACAGTTAATGGCTTTGCAAGAAAAAAAAAACATTGGCACTTAACTATAACTACGTAATTGTACAAGAATTGTCTTGTTCGGTGGATCCCACAACATACTCTGCTGCCACGATCGACGGAACGACTTCGCTCTCTGCCTCGCTTGCCTGGTAGCCCAAAGGATTCTTGCAACTTGGGATTGCTGACCGATGCACGCGAGGAGCGAGCCATTCTACCGGATGGTGGATTTTGCAAGTTGAATGGTGCAACTGAAAACCATTCACACTACGAAATAGAAGCGAAAGCAAGAGTGATCAAAAGAGTGAGGAAATTCCTCACCTTTTTCAGAGGAATTGGCCGCTATTCCGTGCGAAGGCTTCTTCATCGCTCCCTGACGAGGTAAACCAACAGCTTCGGCGACGATGTCCAAATGTGCAGCAAAAACATGAAGAATGGATACGTACCCCAAACTGAAATTTCACAGTTTAAACTGCTCAGATAAAATCACAAGAATGCTGAGTTGTGGGCAAAACTTTCGCCCCAGCCGGGATTCGTACCCGGATCTCTTGCTTTCCGGGCAATTGTGCTACCAGTTACACCACCGGGGCACCATTTCACCCCAACTCAGCTTCGATGGTGAAGTTACCATAGCTTATCAGCATTCACACGTATAACGTGATGAACCGGTTAGCCGATTTCGGCATTCAACCGCAAGGCTGAAAGCTTTACTAGATGTTACCATTTTGACTTGTTTTTATTGGATAACTGCTGTTTTACGCCGCAGTTCGCGTTGCGAAAGTTTTGCCACAACTCAGCATTCTTGTGATAACTTCCGCAAAAACAGCAGTTATCCAATCAAACAAGTCAAAATGGTAACATCTAATAAAGCTTTCAGCCTTGCGGTTTTGCCGATATCGGCTAACCGGTTCATCACGTTATACGTGTGAATGCTGAAAGCTATGGTAACTTCACCATCGAAGCTGAGTTGGGGTGAAATGGTGCCCCGGAAAGCAAGAGATCCGGGTACGAATCCCGGCTGGGGCGAAAGTTTTGCCCACAACTCAGCATTCTTGTGATAACTTTCGCGGCGCGAACTGCGGCACAAAACAGCAGTTATCCAATAAAATCTAATCAGATGAAATTTTCCAATTGCCCTGTTTGCTGACAGCTGCTTTTCACCACGCTCATGATGCAAAAGTTATCACGCGAATGCCGAATTATAAGTCAGAATCGAGCTTAGCTCTGGCTGAGAAGTTAGTCCTACCGTCCTATCTATTACTCTACACCTTTATGATAACTGTTCTCAGTTGACGACTGAAATCGGAAAAATGAAGCCTACCAATTCTGTCTCGCCCACTCAAGAAGATCGTCGCATCCAAACATTGTATGCTTGAAAGCATCCACACCGGCCTTCTGGGCCGATTCTGGATTAATCTCGCGCCGTAGTTGAACAATATCTCGAGAGACGACGCAAATCTACAAAAGATAGTACTTCCTAAGCAGGCTACAGACAATGAGTCCTGCTGTTAGTCAACAGACTTACTAGGAACATCCAATCCAGACAACCAGCAGTAGAGAACCAAGACATCAGATGCGACATTTGTGCTAGGCTTTCCGCTGACCCTTTATTGGATGTTTCCCCCACAAGCAACTTCAAGCCTTTAAATTCAACTGTCATTCCGTGCAAATACAGATGCGTAAGCAACAACAAACCGTGCCAATCACTTCCTATACTCCTCGAGTCGATGTTGTCAATTGTGCTACTACAAGGCGACCCCAATACTGATCCGGGTGGGGCATTATTGCTGCCTAAAAATGAAGAATTGCACTTTGAAAAAGACAAATCAAGAAAAGTTGAGTTGAGCGAATGTTTTCTTTGTCCGATTCTCCTTTGATTTTTAATGACTCAAGTTTTAAGGACTGTGAGAAGCGTTAAAAACAAGCTGACTTAAAGGCAAGGGTCGTGATCACGTAGGGATATTTTTGCGCTCGAAGGTGAGAGCGGATGCCAAATGGAATGCCAGGGCAGAAAAACTGGAGGAAACCGTCAACAAGGCCGAAAATGAAATCTCCTTCCTCACAGCAGCAGAGGAAGCTGGCCGGAGAGGAAGACGTGTTTCAACGAGTCTTCCTGACATGCCAGGTATCGCTGGCTCTGTGCCACCAGTCGATACGGTAATCAACGCACCGCATGAACCTACCCATCTGATTTCAACCCAAAAGCAACTTTTCAACGTATGTCAACCACTACACCGGCGCGTAGCGATATCTCTATGCCAATCGACCATAGGCCCACCATTCAGCCGCGGCATACTACCACGCAGTTTCGAGTCACAAGCGTGGCACAACCTCTGTGATTCCAGACCCAACTACAATATCAAGAAGATAGATCTATCGAGCGCTTAATCCCGATCCGTGCCTTTAATTAGGCATGCGATACCGCAAAGAAGTAGCCGACTTCAGGACATGCTCTGAATTATGGTGCAAAAGAGCGGTGAGCACTACAGTAAAAGACATGCAGTGATTCGTACACGGGAAGTTTCGTCAAAAGTTCAGCATTTGTTGCCGTGGTCTGGTGCAGCCTATTGGAATTCTATCTTTAATGAATCGTAATAACTTGAATTCCTTCTCAACACAATTTTTTCATTGTATCGAGCGATGAGCTTGCCGTTTATAGAACCACAAAGGCTCTACATCATTTGGTAATCACTATAGAAAGAAACAGAACAGATGTCTGTGAAATGATAGCTCAGTCTTATTTCCATTGCTTTTTGTTCTTCGCACCACCTAATCAATTATACAGTAAACCAAACCATGAAGTTAAAGGAAGTGGTCACGCTGGCTTCCACGTGGATCGCCGAACTCCGCGTTATCAACCGATAAGGTTGGAGATAGATAGTGGTTGGACGAGCGTAACCCTATGGAAGACACGAGATTAGATAAGAAGATACGGCTGCTTAGAATGAGGTGCACTCCAGCATGAAAATCGAACGATAACGATAACCGTATCATATCTAGCACGCTGCTATTGCATCCCCTTCCACGTCTGATAAGGAGGTGTAACGCCGAACCGGAAGTGGGTTTCGGCGCCTTATCACGCCGTTGATAAGGCGCCACTGCCCTGAAGCGTCACCTGTCGTCCCATTGGGTAGGACCCCTACCCAATCCACTATGTCACTTTCCCTATCGTCTCCATAGGAAATTCCGTGACCACTTCCTTTAAGAAAGTAAAAGTGGAACTAAAATGAATTTTGTTTAGTAATAGCTCTGTCAGCTGGAATTTTTTGTCTTCTACCATTGCTCTGTTGGTCCCGTCATGTAAGTGTATTACATCTCATTCTAAAACGCTAAGACTGGTCGTAAGTTTGTCCAAGTTGCGCGTGTCACGAAATTCGTTATTACCTGGGGGAGCTCGGATCAAGTTTGGAATGGGCTGGAGCACGGGCTAAGAAGTACAAAACATACAGGTTAGCCGAGCCCCTGTCTGAGATGGGCGGGTAGGATCAAAATGGATAGCGCCGAAGACAAAAAAATTGGAAACTGATTCCAGAATAGCCCAGGAACCGAGGAAATGGGTATACGTATGCGCCGAATTAGCATCGAATTGAATCCTCACCTGCGGTAGGCGCGTTCTCTAAATAGGTTATGTTCACTAAATAAACTCACGACTTGCTTACAAGAAAAAACTGAAGTAGAGCAGAATGTCTGGGATGTACCAAGCGAAGTTGAAATGAGTGTAGGTCCGCACACAATGGGGGGAATGTGTCTTAGGCAGAGTTTTCCACACTTCCTTACGTTTGGTTCCAAGTTGGGCCAAAGACGCACAGGAAGGTGGACCGAGGTTGGCGAAGGAGGAATGGGGCCGATCCCCCTGATGGATGTTGTTCGGTGAATGCATGGGCGTTTACAATTCCGTTTCGAGAGAGCTGCGACATCGAGAAAAAAGTGGGGAGGGGTTGGCAGACAAAGGGAACTCAAATGCTATTGCAGGGAGGGGTGAGCGTCCAAGTGAGCGAAGCTTTCAATATTAGTCATTTATTCACCAGTTTAGCTCACACACTATAATTTGCTTTACACTGGGTTCCAGCGATATTAAACAGGGCAACTAAACATTCATCTTTAACCGCGAACACGAAACCTTGCAATTCGATAGCGAAACAGCAAGGACACTGGGAAAAGGGGATAGACTGGAAAATAGCGGAAAGAGACTGACGAAGGAGAAGTAAAATTTGCATGTAAGACATGGACTGAGGTAGGCGTGGTCAAGTTGACCTTAGTTGCCCTGTATAATATTGCTAGAACCCAGTGTAGAGCAAATTATAATGTGCGAGCTGAACTGGTGAATAAAGGACTAATATTGATACGCGTTTACTTCAAACTTACTGAATACTGTTATAAAATAGACGGATTCAGCTGGTTGTTGAATCAGAACTAAGCAGCTAACAAAAAACGAGAAAAAAATTCTTGAGAGAGATAGATGTTACCGTTTTCTTCGTAATAACTTCGTATAGCATACATTATACATTGAACACAAACAGGTCACTGGAAGGGCGACTACTCCCGGCATTCCTCATGCTTTCCTTTTTTGGACAGTAGATTGCCTACGGAAGGACTAGAATTGTGGAAGTTTTCTTTGTTCTGGGGGAAGGCAGTGGGTGCCGCTTGATACTAGTCATTACTACTCATTACAGAAAGACTGTTGGCTCATAGAAAACGAGCAACATACCATTCAAGCACGCTGCACTTTGGCTACATCGCATAGAACCGAACATTTTCTCCAGCTGGTCGACCACTTTTTTACTGGCGACTGGATAAGGCCAAGCAAACTGAGAGTGAAGTCGTGTGAGTGCGTTCGGGAAATTATGTACAAATTTTCGAGAGGAAACAAGTATGCGGGATGTGTCGAGTTCAAGAGCGGAGACAAAGTATCCTGCAATGCGGTTTTTTTATCTTTTTCAAAAATACGAAAAAAAACTAACCAAGCAACCCCAACACAAAACACAGAACACTAACCAAAATCTCTGATGCAGTACTCCTCCAGTAAGTGAACAGCATGACTTTCCAAAATTGCGCCCATTTTTTCGGCAACGGGATTAAGTTGAGTTGGAGATGGCGGTCCAATATCATTGGAAGCATGCTGCAAGTCGGGATTCAATTACAACATGGAAGGATAAAGGGCCGCTGTACTATATAAAATTAACAAAAAATCGAGTATTCGGTCGCTTCCTTTGACTTCTAAACATATGGAAATTCCCTAATTATTAGATCAATATCTGTATAAATAAAGATAAACCAACCCTATTCACCCGTTTCCCACTTCCCGCCGAGTCCTTACGATTCAGCTCTCGAGTTTCAGCATGCGAATGGCGGACCTTCGCTATTCTGGCACCTCAACAGTTATGAGCATTGAGTTCAGAAGTGTTTTTGTAAATGAAAAAAGTAACGAGTGGGCATCTTAAATAAACCAAACGGTTCAGGCTCATTATTCCAAGGTCTTTTTCCTCCTACTCCTGAGCTGGCTGAATGCGCATTCCACGATGAAGCCTGTTCACAAACTGTATGTTTAAGCCTTCATCGCTGGTGAATCAAGGCCTTGTGTGAATAGCATGGAGCTCCTCACCAGAGCAAAAAAAAAACGTTTATACTGCTCGAAAGTGCGCGAGAAGAGCTTAACGGTTTTAACATGCCTGCAAGTGATCGTAGTTTTTGTTCGCGAAGCAATGGTATATGCAGCTTGTGGGATGCGCCTTGACCACCGCCGTGCTCTCTCGTCTTCCCTCTCGTCTCAGGAAATAATGACTCTTCGACGTATCCTTCCCGCCCGCAAAAAAAGTGAGTATTATTCCCAGTGTTTGCTAATAGTAAAAGACTGTTCTTTTGATTCTTTTTCCACACTTGAGCCCTTATGTTTCTCTACTCACACATGGACGAAATAACAAGTATTTCACTTGGTAAAGGCCTTCAAACCAAAAGAAAGGGAAAAACATCTGTTCTAAATTGTAGAAAGTAGACTAAGAAAATGCTTAGCAGTTCAGCAGTGAAATGGAAAGCATGCTCACCAGCCTGGAAACGAGCGAAAACTAAGTCGTCGGCTTCGGTGACGCTATTTATTGAGGTAGCATGACGACGAGAGGACGATGTCCTCATCGGAGGAGGTGTCCTACAATTAACTTCTGAAGTTATGAGCGGACTTGACGGTTAGACATTTGCTAACTGACCTTGCAGGGCTATCCATATCCTCCGACCCAATGGCACGAGTGAATCGCACCATGTCTTTCGCAATACTCCATTCTCCCGCAGATAATGCTTCTCGAAGAAGGCGAAGAGCTTGCTGAAATAACAATTTCGTCAGGACCACAAAGATTGCCCGCGTCGCGTCTATTTTTTTGTAAGTTGCAGAACGAGACAAATAAACCTAGATAAAAGACGCTAAACGGACGGCTGTAGGTGGAAGACTAGATACCTTACAAGTGACATCGCCTGATGTAATCAAACACTTTGGATCATTGAATAATCTTTCATACAGGCTCTAGCAATACATACTAATCGTGATCACCCCGTCCAATCGGTGAATCGCAAAGCCATGCACATTCAACTGACTATAATCTCTAACATGAAATAATCTTCCTCACCTCCTGGCTTGTTTGCGTATTTTCAATGCTTTGCAGTACAATGAGGTAGCTAGCTGCAGTGTGAAGTTGACCATCACGAAGGCACACCTGAACAAAACAAATCAACAAACGATTGAAGTACGTACAATTAGGAAAATCCTTCAAAAAAGGAGCCGAATGGGAGCGAGTGTAATCAAGTTGAAAGAGCAGCATAAGAATACCTCGAAAAGGTCATTAGGAGAGCCCGTAACAGCAAATAAGGATGACCAAAGAGCCAGTTCGGTTTTTCTTGCGCAGTGAGCAACTGTTCGGAGGAATTCGGGGAATTCTTGTATGAAAGCCACACATCGAGGAAGTAGTGGATCTGTGAATAAAGTATTTCGTACGAACATATCTATGGCATGATACTACATAAGCATCTACTCAAACTGCCTTCATTAGGTGAAAGATTACCAGGGATAGGGTCGCTGCTC